TGTTTTCTTGTTTTGTTTTTCTTTTCTTGTTTAGTCAGACATTGATAAAGGCCTTTTATGACTATAGACTAATTGCAAATTGGAAACAATTGCTTCCAAGTATAAATTCATACCAAACAAGTTAAGTAATATTTAACACCTATAATGTTAAGTGTATGGTACCAAGAAGAGACTCCTGAAAGTTCCCTGAGAATGTGTTTTCAGTTCGGTCTCTCAGGTAATTTTAACTGTCTTTATTTTTTGTCAATGTATGTTCTAAATCTTTCACTAAAATTTCAAATCCCAGCAGGAATATATCATATTAATTAGCTTCACAGCATCCCCTCAAAACATACAGAGAGCCGTGTAGCAGAAAAAGCCACTTTTTGTTTTTCATCTAATCATACTAAGCAAGAGGCAAGACATTTTTTAGAAGCACATAGACTTTAATGAATTGTGTGTTTCCTTATAAAACAGCAGTTTTGAAAACTATCTGAAAATAATTACGATATACTTACTGAGGATGAGATTGGGCAAAGCATAATATAAAACCAGTTACTGCACTCAAGACCCTTGTGCAAAATTTACTTTGCAAAACATATGCTAATAAAAATTCTAGATTCTAGTGTGTTAAAGTTATTCACATTTTTGACGAAAGGAAAATTGGACAAAGAAAAAATGTTTTCATAAATTTACAAAATAAAGAGTATTCATCATCTTTTTTCCTAATTACTTTAGCTAGAATTTGGCCAATTTCTGAACATATGATTTGCTAAAGAATGAAGTGAGGAAGTGTAATTGTATTTTTTTTAAGCAAAAGATGGGATTTGTAAGGGAAGTAAGAGTCAAGTGACTGCCAATAGAGAAGCCAAATGAGACACTAAATGAAATACAATGCTAATAAATTTTTTTATGATAAAAGATGAAGTATTACCATCAATTATATGTGGGAGTGAACAACTTCATACGCGACTATATAAAATTAATACACTATTCTATGATTTCTGCTAATCAAATGGAAACAGATAATTACAGTGAGAGTCTCACTATTTAAGCATATGATTTATGAGTAAAGTATATCATTTCTATTTTCACCCTCTATCTTCATCTATAGATAATCTTAGTCTGCAGACTTCCATAATGATTCTTTTAAGTGCAAATTTAATACAAGGTGCTATCATTTGGGATTAGGATTTTTATTATTCCAGGTGGATTTGTTTATGCCTATATTAATAATAGGCACATAATCTAAGCATATTTGGGAGATTGCTTGTGAAGAGGTAGAGCGAGAAATATCTAGGGAGGAGTTAGGCACAAAGGGGAATTAAGAAACAATAAAGTTCGTGAGTAGGTACTGAAATCAAGAGAAAAATCCTATCAAAATTTAAAAAAAATATTTTATTCCTTTATATCCATTTCCATCTAGAAACTGACAAGTATAAATAATATTCTTATTGTATAATTTTTATGGTAATGTGGCAACATATAGAATACCTCATGCCCAAAATGCACAGTCACATTTAAATAAATAGTCTCATTTAATATTATGTGATTATTAGAAGGTTATCCCCCTAAAATATACAAATGATAGATGGCAGTGCTCAGGTGTCAGAACTTTTAAAATATTATCTGATAAAATATTTATTTTGTCAGAAACTGTTTAAAAATACTTATACAAGCATATAACGTACACTGATCACATCCATTCATTTTATTATCTTCCTTTGCCAGCCTCCCCCCCTTTAATATTCTCTTCCAGATTTAGTAGGTTTAAGCACAGCTTCAAATAAAACAATAAGCTAAATTTGACCTCAAAAAAAAAGTTAAGAAGAGAGAAGATAAAAATCCGTTAATGGCCTAATTCACAAACTACTAAGTCCATGAAAAATAAGAAATCTGTCTGTTTTTAGGCAGGTATTCCCTCCTGGATTGCAACTTACTCCACAAATACAGCAGGGTAAACTGGCCAAGGCCCTATTAAAATCTTCAAAGTGAACTCAAGTTTTGTAGAATATGCAGGAACACAGAAAGAAACAGACTGAGAAATAGTGGTTCAGGCGTGAAGTGAAAATATAGTTCTGAATTATTGTTCATATTAAAATAAGAGATGAACTCAGAACATGTTATCCAGCTCCATCATCTCCGGGCACTTAATCCTGAGGAAGCAGATGTTCGTTACCACCATTGCATGTATGGTCATTTTCCTTAATTTTGATTATCTATCTACCAAAATACTCTACAGTAAAATATTGATGATGCAATGATCAGCTTCAAATGTAGTTTTTGCGAATTCTTTATTGGAAAATAAAATTTGCTTCTAAAACACTTAATTCCAAAGTTTTGTTAAAAATGTACGACTTTAAAGAAAAATTCTAAATAATAAATAAAAGGCAAGTTTAAAGAGAATAATAAAATTTAACAAGTTATAATCGCTAGAATTTTCGCCAATTTCTTTGATCAATATAATTTTTCAGCCGACCATTCTCCCACCCACAGTACGTGAGTTAGGAGTGACTCCTAGTGAAGGGTAGAACCCTCAAAGGACCACATCAAAATCTTTCTACGGATTTTTGCAAACAATACACTTCCATGACTCGACTCATTTTTTCCATTCTCTTACAAGGTTTTTGCCTTTCTCTTCTGTTTAAAAACTGCCTTTGTGAGCTTATGCTACTAATATGAATAGATCTAATTATTTTATTTTTCCACCATGAAAAGAAAGGCAGACTCAATGTGGTAATTAGAAAAAGCTACAATATCTGATTTAATCCCAAACCTGTAGCAAATACTTGTCTGCTACTTAACAGATTGGCGAAGTCTCAATTTTGTCATCAGTAAAAAGGGAATAATAATATACCCCCTTGTTGCAGCTGTCTAGAAAATCTAAATATGATCCTTTGTATTAGACTGGCCTTTCTAGTGTAAAAAGGAAAATTGAATTTTACTCTCATCTTTACCCTGTCTTTAGGCATTCAGCTTTGCCTGGTGTATTCGACTTGTGAGCTAGAATTCTACTATAATCAAATAGAGCCAGGCATCATGGCACCCTCAGGAGGCAGAGACAGGAGGATCGCTAGGAGTTTGAGGCCAGCTTGAACTTCTTATTGAAACTCTGTCTCAAGAAGACAAAAAGAAAAAAACTAAAGAGAATATCTCTCTTTCTTACTCCACAGATATGTAACCCATACACAAAAAGATTAGATTTACAATAAAATTTTATTACGTAATAAAACAGTTACTATATATTTTGTGTAAGTTTAAAATCAAGCAGGTTTGATATGTAATGATTGTTCCTTTGAAAAATTTTGTACTTTTAAAAGATAAATATTCTTTTCAGGGAAAAATCAGAAAAGTATTTGAAACTATTGAGATAAAAACTGCAAAGATAATTTCTAGAATATTGGCTAGTGATATTCAAGCAGATTTCTGTCAGTTCATTATATTTGCTTATATGGTATGACAGAGATTTTGTGTAATTATACTTGCAAAAAATATTCAAACTTCATTATCAACTCACAAATTGGCACAGCAAATGCACAGCCTATGATCCTCAATGACAGCTGCAGTGACATGTTGATAAAATGCAGGGCTTATAAGCATGACAAGAAAACCAGCCCTTCTCACAGCCCTGCCCCATGCCCGTCATTAAATTACTTCCGCACATTTAATCAGTTTTTCTAAAATGACTATGAAATTATATAGTCTAAACCTCACTTTATCAAAAATTGTTGATTCTAATTCAAATGTTTCAGGGCATGTTTTAAATTCAAAATGAATATCTACAATTTTAACAACTTGCCTAACCAAACTGTCTCTATTTTTCTAGATTTGCAAATAATTATTTTATCAATCAAATGTAATCTAGGTTACTGAATTTCCCACACATATCATGATTAACACTAGTATTTATTGGATCTTCTTTTTAAACATTACTTTTCTGCTTAAGAGTATAAAAGTTATACTTTCACATACTATTTTTGGCAATTTTGCCACTGATTTATTTATTTTACTCAAAATTTTCCACATTACATAGCAATATTTTCTTATATTTAATAAGGATCAAGAACCTGTCCTATCAATTGTATATTCAAACAGTTAATGCAATTATTAAATTCCAATAACCAAACATTTGCCGCCTGAAAGTTACATTTATTTCATCATAGATGTCTCTTTATTTCCTTGTTGATTTGATTATTTTTTCTCTGTTGATTTTTTGTCAGCACCATTTTTAAATATAATTTTTTTACGTAAGTCATAAAATAAAGGGACATACCTTAAAATTCATATATGTATTTCTCTAAGAGTGGACAAATATATTTTATTTTATTTTTTGTTTGTTTGTTTGTGGTATTGGGACTCATACTCAGGCAGGCACTGTGCCACTGAACTATATCCCTGGCCTGAAAGACATTTTAGTACTCCTACCTAGGAGGGTAAAGAGAAGATGAAAAGAAACAGAAAGATGAAAGAGAGACAAAGACAAAGACGGAAAATAGGATTTCACTTTATAGTACTATGCAGACTGGAAAGGGCAATTACAGTTTGCCAAACTTTGACACACGAAAACAAAATTAATCAAAAACTATAGTTATTGTGTTGGAAGATAATATATTTGGACTCATATTTGCTTGAAAAAATTCATAAAGTACAGATACTACTAACTAGCATCAACCTAACAGTTTTCAAAGTTTTTTAGCAAATACTACAGTCAAAGAGCTTATAATTATTAAATTTATATTTCAGTTTTAAAAATCTAACCTGAATTTCACACTGTAAATTATGCATTACTGAAATACTCTGATTCCCATGTAGTTGAAACTGTAATAATCATTAAAGAATAAATTACAATTAACTAAACAATTTACAACTTGTATAGAGTTGCTAAATGGAAATGAGTATGTATGCAAAATGTGTAGTTCGTAGTTAGGTTTATCATGTTTGCATATATAACTTTCTGATATATGTTTAAGCTATGGTAGATATCGAAAAGTTGACATATAATATGAAAGTGAAATACTCACTGTGGAAGGACTGAAGAATATTGATTGTCCATTCATCTGTTAATCTTCCTGTTTTTGTTATTTGAATGCATTTGAGTTGATTGGAAGTGTCTCTTGATTCAACCCAACAAATCGTTTCCTCCTTATAAATAAAATCCAATCCATGAATTTCATTTCTGTTGGCTGAGTTTAGAGTTGCCATTTTACTTCCATTAAGGTAGAAAATCTCAATGGTTTCAGAATTTGCAGTTAATAACATAGGTGGGCTATCTGTAGGTTCTGAAATACAATGGAGAGAAGTGAATTAAATAAGAGAGTCACTTTTTTTCTCAATTTCACATTGTTCATTGAAAGTTACTTATATATTTAAGGCATCATCAAAATAAAAAGTTGCTTGCAAAAAATTTCTTAAATGTATAAAGAATGTATTTCACTATTTTGTTTCACTCTTTAGGGCAATGTATTTCACTGAGCACTTGTATTGACCATTACTTTAGTCATATCGTGCTGTCTAAATATGTAAATAAAGGAAATTCTGTGTCTAACTTTTTTTTTTTCTTTTTTAGCAATGATGACGGATCTAGACCTACCTCTCCATCTTAGCTTTCCAGGTTCCCTTATGATGAAGGGCATGCTTTCTTGATCTGAATATGTGAGGTCAGAAGTGAATTCTTCAGAGCAGAACCAGAAAAATTCAGGCTCATACAAAGAGTGTCCACCTATGATTTTGGCCTCATTGGTTCTTGACCAAACAATCAAACTTTTGTTAGGCAACTAAATATGATTATTGATCCAAATACTTCCACATTCCTTCTCTAAATTCAGAGAAATGAGAGTCTAGATGTAAAAGGAGCTAGTTCACTACCACAGTTTTAAAGTATGCAGTTTCAGTGTTGTTAAGACTGATGCCTTTTTGATGAACATGTACAAACTATATTTTATTTATTTATTTTTTGTTTTGAGGCAGGGTCTCACTTTGCAGTTCAGGTTGGGCTTGAATTCACTTTGTATCCCAAGCTGGTCTTGAACCTGCAATGATCCTCCTGCCTCAGCCTTCTAAGTCCTAAGATCACAAGCATGCACCACCACCAAGCACAGCTACAAATTGTAGTTTTAAAGGTAACAGTAAATCCCGTATGAAAACTAGTACTGATTTGCCAGGTACGGTGGTGCACACCTATAATCCCAGCACTGTTAGAGGCTAACACAAGATTACATGTGCAAGCCCAGCCTGAGCAACATAATGACAATAAGACTTTGTCTCATAAAATAACTAATAATAATGATAAGCTAGTGACAGCACCTAACGTTGAACATTTATTATACAATCATATTCATAGATTTTCTTTTACTTTTAACTAGAGTATAGGAACATTTAAAAATCCTCAGTTTCTAATATTTTTTCCTCATGCGTCCCTTTCAATGCACCCATAAATTCTTTTGACTGTGATGTCAAACATGTTAGGAACCAAGTACCTACTCCTACTCTAACCACTGTTACTATACGTATCATTCTCCAAAAGGCTAAACTCTCTCACCTACATTATTTTAATGCCCTCTACCTGATTTTCCTTTTTCTCTTTCTCTCTCTCTCTCTCTCTCTCTCTCTCTCTCTCTCTCCCCCTCTCTCTCTGAATGCCAACACTATAACCAGAATTATGCCACCAAAAGACGGGGTATGTCAGCTCAGTCCTCTGCTTAATACCTCAAACGTTTTCTATTCCTGTCAGAATAAAAGTCAGCCCCTTATGATGGCGTATATCGCTCTGCATGATTTGTATCCTTACCCTCTCTTTAATTTCATCTCTTTTACGTCTGTACTATGCTTACTGTTTTTTCTCTCACTCCAGAAGCACTCATTACTGTTGGGAAACTAGATAAGCAGGCATTTTGTAGTCTCCTCCTTCTTCCTCGAATAGTTACTCCCTAAATATCAGATTCCTGATATGCTCACCTCACCTAAGTTACTATTCAAATGTTGTATTTCTGGTAAGGACTTTGGTTACCACTGGGTCTTGCAAAAATTGTGAATCTCTACACTCTATACAACTGCACCATTTTATTTCTGTTATTACCACTGAAGATAAAGCATACATGATAAATTTTTCAGGTTCATTATCTACTTCTAGAAAAAAGTCTAGAACACAGTGGTGAATAAGTAAAAATTTCCTGAATAATTGCGTATCAAGTTTCTTCAAAACAAAATTTTGTAAAATGTCACAAAAAAAGCACCTGCCTTGCAAGCAGGCAGTCATGAGTTTGATCCCCGGTACCCGTAAAAAGGAAAAAGACAAAAAAAAAAAAAAAAAATGGTTTTTTACCCTGTGGAGAAAATAATTGCCTTTTCAAACAATTTTGTGACTATCATTTAATCTTTCTTCAAGATAGAGACACTAAGCATTATAAGGTAGAAGAAAGGAAAATGCATAAACTATGAGTACTGCATTTAAATAAATCTCAAGCTTTAAAGTCCCATTATTATAGGCAGCTGAACTAGTTAGAAAGAGAGATAGTCAGACAGGGCTAGGCCCGGGTGGAAGCTGGCAGAGAGGACCAAAAGTCTTATGGCCTTGGAGAAGACACACATCTCTTGCTGTGACCCAGGTCTCAAGACAGAAGGCAAAACAAATGCACCCACCCCCTAAATTTAAACATTAGGGATTAGGTATTAATTATCTTGAGAAGCAAGCGTTACCATCCCGATCCCCGGCAGGAAGAGTCATTGAACTGTACGGATGCTTGCTTGTTGCCTTGCCACATGACTCACTTCCTCATTGGGCCCTGATTTGGTCAATTTTACCAGAACAATTAAATATATTAGTTGACCATAGTTCTTTCCCACCTCAAGCCTGCATACCTTGCAAGTTCCCAGTTTTCCTCACTACAGACTCACTTCATCTCCTGGTTTTACTCTATAAAAATCCTGAGAAAAGACAGAATCTTTGACAACCCACTAGGGACCCCCTTCTGTCTCTCTCCCAGATAGAAGCTTTCTTTCTCTCAATGAATATATTCTGCTCTTAATCTCCATTATTCCTAAAATTCATTCTTCAATTTTATAGATCACAGACTCATACCCGACATATGATATGTTGGGAATTTTATGCCCCTATATCACTATTGTTTAGTGTTCTTTGTCATTTTCATCAGAGATATGGATACCAAGCTTTCAGTGTTTCCCTCAGACAGAACTTCCCAATGAAGATGATTTGGAATCCTTCTTCACAAACTTAAAACAAATTTTATGATGCACCCCAATATATCCCATGAATATGTGAATATGTACTCCAAACAAATTGTCTTAATCAAGCTGTGGAATTTCTCTCTGCCTTTAAAAAGACAGTAATTATTTTAGACCAAGGAAAACAAGAAAAGCAGTGAAGTAAGCAACCAGAAACAAACAGAACAAAAATTCCTTAGTGAGATAAAATTTAGCAGTCCAACAGTTTCTTGCCAGTGGATACAACAGTCTTATCTGGGGCAGGGGAGCTTAAATCAAAATCAAAACAAAAACAGAAGCTTCAAAAATGATAAGATCATTTCCATTAAAAAAAAAAAAAAAACCTCTCTCAGAAGCCAAGTAAAATTGTGAAGCCACTCTGCTGAATGTAAATTGTGTATTTACTGAGCCTAGAGAGCCAGCTGGCCTCTCTCCTAATCTCTCTCATCCATCTTGAGACTGAACTACTCTTGTCCCCGCAATTCCTTTATGCAGAGGTCCAGACGTGGTCTCTCTTCTACGCTAAGTTTTGTCATTTTCCGAGTGACCTTGGCACTCTTGAAATCTGTAAGATCACAGATTTTTCAGTTTAGTGAGAAGTCTTACATGGCTGTTTTATCAGGCTAACAAAGATACGCTGACATGAATGTCAGTGCTGAAAGTATTCATTTGACAACTAAAATGAACCTCAGTGAAACTGCCTCTTAGTCAAAGTGAGCCCCTATTGAAAGCTTCTATGCTGCAAAGCTTTATGCAGAAATCCAAATTTAGAACACTATTTCTTATCTAGTTCTAGTCAGTAAATTCAACTGTATCATAAGCATTCTTTGGGGAAAGGCTGATGTATGCAGGAGTGCTCAAATTCCCCTGAGAAAATGAGATAAGAATTAATTAATAGTCAATGCAGACAATTTACTTGACACATTTAATCAATTCATTTGATTTTGTAGCTGTATTTTAAATGAATTAGATGCTTATCTTAATAGAAAATATATAAACTATCAATTGAAGGCCTCAAATAAACAAGTAAAAACAAAGCCAAATAATTCATGAGCTTTCAGGGTTTAAGTAAACGAGGAGAGTTTAAAAAATATTAATGACAGCCTTCAGATAGGGTACTAATAATCAATAATCTTAGTTGTGAAACTAAGTAATAGTAACATTACCAAACTAATATTTATATATTTCTGGTAGTTATCAATTATAATTTTCCTCTTTAGACACATTGACATAAGAGAGAAACCTTTGAAACACAGAAACCCACAAATTCATCCACACCTATAGAAACTAATCTTTTAGTCCACATGGTCCAACTCAAAGAGCCCCAGCCAAGAGTACCATGTTTCCACCTGAGCTGCCGCTCATCTTAAACTCAGTCTCCCTCCTGGCCATGAAAGGCACCATCAGTGGGGATAATAAGGACAGAGGCCTGGCCATAATAAATTTGATGTTTCCATTTGATGTCATTTTTAAAGACACTGGACAATTTTCCCAACGGAACAATTGGAAAACACACCAGATGATCTTAGTCAAAGGGAGACCAAAATAAACACTTACTTAAAGAGAATGAACATTAACCTTTCACATGGAAGATATTAAAACACAGGAAAGCACTCTGGTAACACTCTACTGTTGGGAATAAAGTCTTACATTGAAAAAGCCTCTTTCAACAAATTCGCAATGGGAGAGTAAAATGGTTTTATCCTATGATGTATATGCTGATGGTATTAAAATAATGTATTTTCTCTTTAAAGATTTATAGAATTATGTGTTTTACACTGTGTGTAGTGAATTTTTCCCCAGAAAAATGTTACATTAACCAATGCTACAAAAATGCAAAGACTGATTTTAAATTGTGAATGAAGAGAGGGACATGGAAACATTAAAAAGCTCATTTATGAAGTCCATAAAGACGCTAATTTAAATTTCAAACCAGTGTAACCAAATCCTTGCAAATACAGACTTCTCCTGTCATGTTCAAGAAAATAAAATTATTTATAGACTTACAATAAGATTTACGGATATTTGGTACCAAATAAATGTTTTCAGTGTAATGAAA